AAGGTGAAAACGTTCCTCATTTCAATGTGGAAAAACATTCAACAATAAATTAAGACTATTGCTTATGTATATGTAAATTGGCAAGGTATAGGAGAGAAGAATTGGACCTCGGGGTTAGACATCCTGATTCTAGTCATTGCCCCATCCCTTAGCAGCTGATTGACCTTGGGCTAGACATGAAGCCTGAATCACAGTTTCTTCCATATGTCAATAGTGATGATGCCTGTCTTCATGGGGTTGCTATGAGACTTTAAATATTATATTTATTATATTATATATACATATTATATATTATTGTGTTATATTATTATAAAAGGATCTACCCAATCCTTGGCCTGTAGCAGGGGTTCAATTACATGATTGCTATTTATAGGCTTGTTTAGTTACTGGAGTCACTGCAGTGCATACTGACAATCAGAGCCCTTTGCTGGAGGATATTTACTGGACCAAATTTAGATTCAATGTATCATCAATGCTGGTAATTTCTATCATATGTTTATCATAATACATAAAAGAAATCAACTTATTTGATAAATTACTACAGGTTGTGTTAGTTCTACTTACAGACTGGAAAAATTAAGAGTAATGTGATTTCAGTCGTTTGGCTGTATTCTGAAGAGTACTGAAGCTTCAGGAATGGTCCTGCTAAACATACAGGTTACAAAGAACTGTAACATCCTCTGTACTATCATTAGTGTATCTGTTAGAATAATCCTAGGAGCTTAAAGTGAGGCCTATATCTTCTTCACGTTGCAGATCTGTTATTTGTTAGCAGTGGGGGCCTTTGCTAAGAGTGATCAAGGGATCTGGGCTGAGAGAGTAGCAAACCAAAATTTCAATTATCAGTCACAGAGCCACAGAGAAAGAGAGAACTCTGGATGATGTTGCACTGGACACAATCATATGCTCAGATATTCATCACTCACTCACAACTCATTGGTCTCACCCCACCTCAAGAGTATCAAATGTGCATCTCTACTTTATAACAGGAAGGCAGTAACCTGCAACATTTTGGTGAACAGTATTAATGACCACCCCAATTAGGAAGCAGAATTCTAGGAATGGCAGAGCTCAAGTTTAGCAATATAGCATTGCTCCTTTTTCATATCCCTGGAAAACAAAGGCAGCTCCATAACACAATGGGTAAATACCCAAATGACATCCAGTACCCAAAGAAATGCTTACACATCTCCAGGTATATCCTCCATACAGTAGTGAGCAGACTGTTAAAATACATCGACAAAAAAATCCACTCACATCATGGACCAAAAGAAACCTAAATTTTACCACAGGAGCCTCCTAGCATCAGGGGTGAACTACTTACATTTTCTTGGCAGTATAAAGAACTAGAAAATTGTAGGCCAAGCGATCACTGGTTGGAGTACATAATTTATGTCCAATAAAAAATTATAATGACTCTATATAACTTATAGATGATCAACTAAAACATACTATACATATTACATTTAAATTATACATCAGCTTTATCAGCAATATCTATAAATTATGTACAATGTTCAATGACAAGATTGACTTTAAAGCTGTGTTCAGGGAAACTCTTACTTCTGGGTTAGACATGTGAACCTATGGCAGTCAGGATCATCTCCAGGCAAACCAGAGTGAAAGATTAACAGAGGAAGTAGGAGAAAGGCATGAAACAGTGAGCCATGACCACAGTTACATTATTGCACTAGTAGAGATAAACCAACAAAAGTCTAATGCCTCAAGTTGAGAAAACTTAGTCAGTGGTTCTCTCTCTCTGGGACACAGATTCATTTGAGGGACTTAGAAATGCTGAGGCCTGGCCCTACTCCAAGAGCTTCTGATTTAATTGATCCAGTAGAGTACAGCCCAGGCATTGCTGTGTTTTGGTTGCTGTCATTGCCTTATAAAGCCTTCTAATGCAAAGCTAGGCTTAAGAAATACTAAACTAAGTCATGTAGTCTATCAAGCAAAGAAATAAACTTGCAAATAATGGATTCTGCAGACATGTACCTACTAAATATAAAAGAAACAACATTTGTGCTAACTGGGGAAAGAAATGTACTCCATGCATCAACTCATAAATAGCTATGTAGCACATGTTCACGTCTATTTTCTCTAAGTAATTACCAGAGTGACATGTATTTTGAATATATACCATAAGAGAATCAAGGTTTCTTTAAAAGGGGAAGGGAATTTCAGCTATCTTTATACTACTGATTTTATAGTAAATGAAAAAATAAAATGTATGAGTAAACTAACAGAAATTACAAATACAAAATCTAAATATTGCCTTCAACTTTTTTCTGAAGTATATCCCAATATATTGATGAGTAATTTTATTTACTGGGGAAAAGCTTATCACCTGTATATTCATATACATATTCATCCACAGTGACAGAGCTCTGTTGTGCTGTCAACAAGAAAATTAATAAGTCACTGGTCCCATAAACATATCAATTTTTCAGTGACTACTAAAAAAATAAAAGAAGAAAAACTAGACAAACATGAACTAAAAGAGAAGACTTAACATTTTCAGAATCTAAAACTAAAAAATATTTTATTTTTTCATAAATGCATATAATGTCTTTCTAGAAGAGCTTATTTCTCTCTCACAGTAAAAGACACACTGCAAAATATAGTCCACAGTCAGTGAAAACTCTGAAATATTATTTAATCATTTGTTAAACTAAGCTTACACAAGTTAGGAGAAAGTAATGTTGAAATAATATATATGAAGTAAGATATAGTCAGCTTAAACAGTGAGAGCTGTATATGCCTATCATTCTGTGTCTACTTTTAGAAAAGGAGCTCAGACAACAGGTGCAATGTGCAACCATTCTCCATCTCTTCTACAAAAATCTTTGAGAAGGTCTACATTGTTTAATACACATTATTTATTTTTGTGTAAGTGATATTTTTATGGGGGCAGGGGTGTGAATTTAATACCTGGATCAACCTGGCACAGTGTAGAGACAGTATTTGAGGAAGTAGGAGCTCCAGTGCAGAGAGGACCATAACAGATTAAATTCCTGGGATGTCTAGGCAATTGAACTGCACGTTGGAGTCAATACTATCTCCATCTCCAAGGGATATAGTTTGATATTATTTATTTTCAAACAATTTCTCATATGTACCATTTTTGACCATTTTTCTATCTTGGTTGTCAGCTGACCTCTTTGCTTTCTGTTTCTTGACTTCTCATTGGGGCAATGAGGCTTTAATTATCTGTGAGTTTCCTTCTTGGCAAGTGGAGATTCTTAGATAGCCAGGAGTAGGGAATTGTAGCATAGCAGGGCAGCTGGGCATGTGCCAGCTGAATCTGAGGTAAAGGGGAACTAAAATTTCAGCCTTGAATGAAGAGACCCATAGACCCATCCCTATTATATTAGCTCCAAGAGAGGAAGTGAAGAAAAAGAAACAAACAAGAAGAAAGAGACATGAGCCTGTAGGTAGACACCATGAATGACAGTAGAGGAGAGCCTGTCCCAGAGCCTGTGGTCACCCAGTGAGTTATCCACCCAGAGCACCCAGCCAGCTGGGGGAGTAGGGGACAGAAGAGGTGAAACAAATGCTTTATTTTTCTCTGTTCTCATTCTTGCCTTAGGAGTCTATTTAATCTAAGCAGCCCTGAATTCACGGTCTTTGCTTGTTTTAATGCTTTCAGAAGGTTAAAACCTTATGGCTCCTGATTCTTGAGTTTAGTTTTGTTTTGCATCAGATTTTTTCCTTGTCCCAGGGATTAATGGTATGCTCAAGTGGAATCAGACTATTCAAATTTATCCTGACAGAACTCAAATTCTGAGAGTAACATTACTTCAGACAACTTAAAAATACACTTTGATTTTTTATGTATGTTTAAATACAATTTCTTAAGAATGCCCTGCTCTTTATCACACTGTCAAATATTTAAGATTCTAATTTCTGCCTCGTGAGAAGCTAGGTTTCCCTATCTTTTAGAAAAGGGGAGGGGCACATAAGGGAGAACACTCCTTCCTATCTTCTGTGTTTGCCATCAGAAGTGCCCAGGGACACATCTGAAATGTCCGAGCAGAGAAGGTGCCTCATACTAAAATGACTGGCTCACAACTACCATGAAATGAATGTATGTGATGTTATTCCATACTTAAATATTTCTACTGAAACAGCCTTCCCTTCCAGCTGCTTTCAAGCTGAATGGAACAAAGGTACTGTTTATGCCAGAGAAAAAGTAGAAGTCCATCTGCAAGTACCTCAGATTTCCACAGATTTACTTATACTGTGGATTAAATGGCATGCCTTAAATGTACATACATGTATATGTATATTTGAATATATGTATACTTCTCACTCTAAAATAGGAACCATCCAAATTGAGTCAAAGGCATTCACATTTCTGACATCTACTTTTTAATCAGATTTCTAATGAAAGCATGGTTTGCAGATGAAAAGTTTCAATATTAGAATACAGATACGGATAACTGAATTAATTTATAACAATTAAACCAAACCCATGAAAACAGGTCCAATTCACTTACTCTCATCAACTTGAGAATTGAGTCTATTCATTAATTGTAGTGTGTGATTTAAAGTTTAAAAAGAATCAAAATATACTGAAGGAGTTAGTATAATGAAATACTGTTTGAAATTTGAAAAATCTGGTTGCATTCTGTAATTAATCTTCCCTGTGAGCTAGGGCTATAACTTAGAATCTTCTCAAGAGAATTAAAAAATTACCAAATGATGGAATCGTAAATCTGTTTCAAAAGGCAATTATGGAGAGTCCTCAGTTGATTTACACTATATTGCCATTAGAGAAATAAAATTTAAAACTACCTCGTGGCTATTTTTATATCCATACTTCCTTTGAAAAAGCTGCTTTAAAAATACAAATATTTGAGTTTAAACAAATAGTACATACTATTTTGTTTATATAAATATAAAAGTAAAAAATTATATCTCTTTTAGGATCTGAGACAAAATGGCCATAATTAAAAACAAGTGCAAGAGGAACAAAGTTTTGATGTTACTGTACCTACCTTTAATGTGATACTATAATGTCCAACAAACGTTGCATCTATCCATGATCTTGAATGGGGATCACCCAGGAATTCTATGTGATACTGTTCAACATCTCCATCCAGGTCATAGGTCACATATTTTCCTTTAAAAGGATCAGGGCAAAGTATCCCTGGCCAACTTTCAAAAGAAAATATTTTTATTATTTTGATGCTTTAAAAAAGGTAGACATTAATATATCTGTCACAATCATCTGTCAAACTTTGCCCTTTGAATTTTAATAACTTCTTTATAAATTTTAAATATAGTCATATTTGTATCTTTTAAAAGTAGGATATTCAATTGATGCAAGTGATCATTTGTATCTTTGTAGATATAGAAAGCTTTGAAACAGTCACATACTCAAGACATTCATAAGATATGAGGAGAAAGAATCATAAGACAAAAGAATGATTTCCAGGGTCTTTAAGAGACATTTAGGCACTGCTAATAGGAAAGATCAGAGAAAAAAGAGTCATCAGATTCATGGCAGGCTTGAATCAACTCTCACCAATCAGAATGATTAACTACTAAAATGTTAACCCACTGACAGGGCTTCTGATGGTGTAGGAGAGAGCTAGCGATTCATGAGCCAGGACTGCCAAAGTGGTCTGGGCTGTTCTGACACTGAACTTTGCAACAACTGTGAGAAAAGTAGAAATAGAGTCAGCGGTTCTGTGTTATCCCTCCCCCACCACATCAGTTCCACTGGCAGTGATCAAATGGCTAAAAATCCTCAGTACTGCAAATAAGGTTTATTCTTTACTAAAAATAAACCTTAGGGGAATGTACAGCAGAAATCTGACTGAATTTTACAGATCAAGATCCAAAATATGCATATCTAATATACCCAAGCATTCAAAAATCTGTACAATTATCAAGTTCTATTATTTATAATATTATAATTATCTGTACAATTATCAAGTTCAATTATCTGTACAATTAACGAGTTCAGTTTGCAGTACCACAGAGCGAGAAAGGTAGAGAAGTTCAAATTAGAAGACCCAGGCTCTAGTTCTGCCTTCTACCAGACAGGAGGCCTCAAGCAGGTAACTAGGCCTCACTATAACCTGGTTCTTCACTGCGCTGTTTCAAAGTTCAAACAAACATGTGCTTTACACATTTTTGGTTTCTGGCAAATTAAAATGGTGTAAAGCGCCATCATTATGGACTGAATTATGTCATCCCACCAACCTGCATTCATATGTCAAAGTCCTGACTGCCAGTACCTCAGAATGTGACTGTATTTGGAGAGGGGGTCTTTAAGGAAGTAACTAAGTTAAAAGGTGAGCCCCAATCCAACATGACTAGTTTCCTTATAAAAAGAGAAGATTAGGACCCAGACACACACAGAGGGAAGACCATGAGAAGACACAAAAAGAGAGACCCACCTACAAGCCAAGGAGAGGCCTGAGAAGAAATCAACCCTCTGACACCCTGACCTCAGAAGTTTAGCCCCCAGAACCATGGGAAAATAAGGGCTAGAGAAATTAAAAATTGAGTCAGACAATCTGTAAGCCAAAGAAGAATTGGAAATGATAATGGAAAGTCAAGTGAAAGTTCAGGACCTAAATGAAGAGAACCATCTGGTTGTTATCAGGCTCACGTCACAGTATCTTACTGCTATTTGGTGACTCTTACTGGGCTGTGCTTAAGAGTTAAACTTGAGTGCAGTTTATCTTTTAAATCTACAATGGAAATCTACATTGCTGAGGGAACACACTCAAAAGAAGGGGACTTCAACAGGCAAATGAATGACTAGGAATGAGTGGTAGCTGCAATGGAGACCCTCAACTTATCAGAAGTCAAGGAACAAGTGGGTCCTTCAATATGACCAATAGCTATTGTAAAAACAACCAAACTATGATTGTTACATTATATTTGTTTAAACTCTTTATAAAAGGTAAGGGGCTCATGTTTAATACTAGGTGATTTGCACTTCACAGCAATTTTAATAAGGATTACTGTCAACCCAATACCAATTTATGAGCAGTACCTACTCCATTCAGTGTAAAACAGTCTCACAAAATGGATTTCTGATATTTAACACATGAAAGAAAGATTCTGCAGTTATTATGTGTAAGATGAGCTGCTACTTTTCTGACACAAATTCTGATACAACTATTTTTTAAGTGGAACCTATTGGGTCCCAGAGTATTCAATTTAAATTATTACTCAAAAAAATATAAACAAAAAGAGATGACTCCTAAAAAGAATTAGATACCAAAAAAAGAAAAAAGCTTCGGTTCATTATTTAAAACATATTTTATTACAGAAAGTATTGCATACTGATTTAAAGATGAATTATGAAAAGTATTATGGGGCTTCCCTGGTGGCGCAGTGGTTGAGAGTCCGCCTGCCAATGCAGGGGACCCGGGTTCGAGCCCCGGTCCAGGAAGATCCCACATGCCGCGGAGCAACTGGGCCCGTGAGCCACAATTACTGAGCCTGCGCATCTGGAGCCTGCGCTCCGCAACAACAGAGGCCGCATAGTGAGCGGCCCGCGCGCCGCGATGAAGAGTGGCCCCTGCTTGCCACAACTAGAGAAAGCCCTCGCACAGAAACGAAGACCCAACACAGCCATAAAATAAATAAATAAATGCATTAAAAAAAAACAGTATTATGAAATGTCCAAATAACTGGGGTACTTTCAGGTGGTGCAAAGGAATTGTCTGACTCCTAGTCTGTACATATCAGCTAAAACAGAATGTACCAAACTACAGGAAAAGCTGAGCAGAGGGCAATACGTCATGTAGAAAACATGATTACTTCTCTCCAGCTGCTCCAACCATCATCATCTCTGACTTCCTGTGATTGAAGAAAGAAGTTGATGTCCATTTTTTGCCCTCACTCTGACCTCAATTTGAGTTCCCAAACTGTCAATGATGATAGTGCATTGTGCATTTCTACTTCCTGAGTTTTCACTTTCATATTGAGGAGAAATTCTGAGTGTTGTGTGGGGGCTTAAAGGTGGAGAGGGACAGTAAGAATAGGCCACCCAATGGAAGGGTGTCAGAATTACAAGGGAAGTGTATGGTCAATCTCAGAACCTGTGGGTGGTGGAAGGTAAAATGTACAAACACAACAAGGTCAAACAGACATCAGGTGTTGAAATACACTTGCAGGAGGAAATGGAAATTTTGGCAGGACAAGAAACTTCAACGGAAAGTGAAAATACATTACAAAGAAACTGATGTATTACACATTCCTTATCCAGCGGAAATGATCTTTAATGAGTTGGCTACTGCCTTCAATAAGTTGAAGCTTAAGCATGATAACAGCTGCCATGTATTTATACCAAATGAGAAGAAATATATAACTTTTATTTTCAAACTGTGGTCTGGATGTTTAAGAAGGTAGCAGATTTACTTGGGCCTCATTCTTAATCTGTGGGAAACAAAATGGATGAGTTGGAATCATCACTAACTTAATGTCATACTTTCCAAGAAATCGCTTTGCTATACCTAACTGCAGGGACCGTTGGGAAGAGGAAATTTCTCATCCACACACATATAAATCCATAAGCAAAAGTATGCAAATGAGAAATAATCAAATACTATCTTATAATACTGAAAGGATCTAGTAGAAACCACAATTTATAAATGTATATACTATATCTAAAAAGTATCACTGGATTGGTTAACTTAAAGGCATATTTGATTACTAAACTGTTTAGACTACAGTAATTAGAATGCAAATATATTTTCTATAAATTAATTTTCATACTTATGAGAAATCATTGTAAAATGTCTGGTAAATATGCCTAGTTTCTGCTTGATACTGTATTTTCCTATACTAAGTGAGAGATGCACTGCTAATTTTTACTTTTAATTTCTTTGCTCTTTCTAGCTAAATACAATGTATTTGATCAATCTTTAAAAATCAAGACTTCTTAAACATTATAGAGATAGTTTTTCTCTTCCTAGTAATGCAGACAGCCCCACCCTCAAGCTCACATAGGCACTACTCAAAGGCAAGAGGCTGCATAAGTATTTTATAAGTATGTAGGTGTGTGCTACTTTATAATGTGGTGATAAATATAACTACTTTAATTTGATTTTCCATGGAGCTTGACCATAAACAAAGAAAATGATATTCTCTTAACTATTATTTATTTTTATTATATAAAGATTAAGCAGGCATTTCTTGACTCTGTATCAGTCTCTCTTTAGCTTTTCAGCTTTATTGAAAAGTATGAACTCTTCTGAGAAAGAATAATTCTGAGATGTTGATAAGATTGAATTTCGGAGCCTTCAAAAGCTATGTGTAAGGACATGGGCTAATAAGAATTGACCAGATAATGCTACACTGTTAAGCGTCTCTGTAGCCGGCTGACTGATCTTCCCACTTGAAATTTCAGGGTCTGTAACATTTCCTAATTAAGAACTGATGTTTGGCTGCTTTTAGTAGGCTAATTCAGCTTTATATTCTACTACTGCAATTTATCTTGTTATCTTTCTGTTGTATTTGTGGAACTGATAAGCAATACAGCAACAGATCTGAGTTTCTTAACCTGTATTTTAAGTCTGTGCTCATGTGTACTTAGTTTATAAAAAGAAATATATGTGACTACATGCCAAATGCATTCTACCCTTTCCAAACAACAAGAAGGTAGTTACAGCTGTATTCTGCAGCATTTTGACGGTCCTAATCATAGATTGGAGGTAATTTAGGGACTAGAGTAAAACATGCTTCATTCGTATTTCAAATCCTAACCCTCAGCTACAAGTACAAAACTGCAAAAGAAATTCCTAATCAAATTTCTAACATAATATTTCAGACATAGTGACAAGATTCAAAACCATTTCTTGAATGAGAGTTATTGAAACTTCAGAATTTCCAGTAGAAAATACAAATGCTCTGCTTTCAAAATGTTAGAGATATGAAAAATGGCAATGAGACTACAAATACCTTCATAACTTCAAAAATGAGTGTTCATATACATAACCATCTAGTTCCTCTTCATGCCCATCCTAGTTACACAAAAGTCAATTAATATATATATCTTTTTACAACATTTCATATTTGATCCTTAGAAAAACTCTCAGTAACAAAAGGTTACTCAGAGCTAATGTGTAACATTCTAAATCTCTCTGAGATGTGGAAATCTCTCTGAGGTAGATATTAAGTGTATTGGTTGA